GTTCATCAGGAAGGAGGATCCAGAGACCATCTGGGGGATAGAGAAGTGGGTGGCAGAGCCAGGTTCAGACGAGAGGAGAAACAAATATGGCAACCTTAGAGGGAGATGCCTGGAAAGAAGGGAGTGGGAGATGCAAGTGTGGAGCTTAGTAGAGAGAGGTCAGGACTGGAGTTAGCTAGGAGAATTTGAGCAAGCCTCTTCCCTTCCCTGGGCCAGTTTCCTCCTTTCAAAGGAAGTGGTTGGACTAGATCAGGGCTTCTTAACCATTTCTTTTATGTCATGGAGTCCTTTGGCAGTCTGCTGAAGTCTGTGGGCCCCTTCTCAGAAAAATATCTTATATAATTGAAAGAAATGCTACATTTCAGTGAAAATACAGATGTAATTATTTTTTTCCAATTCAAGTTCATGGATTTGCTGAAATCTGCCCTGGGAACCCCATGTTAAGAACCTTTGGAATTGATGATCTGATATTCTATGTTCTAAGAGTGGTCTCAACTCTTTTCTCTGAGTCTAAGCCCAAGATTTAGGGTTTGAGCGAGGATGGAAGATAGGAGGAGTGAATGAGAGAGTCCTCATGGAGACAATATAGAGGGAGGAGATGAGTGGACCTGGAGATGAGCCCTGGACCGAAAGGAGGGAGGAAGTAGAGGGGATTCATTAGAGGGTTGGGAATGGGGGATCCAGTGAGGGGGATGAAGAACTGGAGGGATGTGGACTTTGACAGGGTCCATGTACTTCGTTGTTTAAAAATTGTTTTGATAATTGCACTTCAATATAATTATACAAAATTTCCTTTGTATTCTATGTATTTTATTTCTATGCATTTAAAACATAATTCTGAGAAGGGGTCCACAGGCTTGCCCAGACTGTCTATGACACAAAAAAAGGTTAGAACTCCTGGTGTAGATTGTGGCTAGCAGAGACCCCGAGAGTGAGCCCTGAGCCATAGGTAGGGAAGAAGGGAGGAGAGCAGGTGGAGTCAGACCTTTACTTAGCAAGGTGTTGGGTTGGCCAGAGGAGAAACCAGACTTTGAGTTCCTTCCCTCTCTCTGGCAATGTAGATTGAACAATGACACCTTGTGGCCTACTAGGGGATTATCTGTTCCCCAGATTTTCCACCCTGGGTGGGGTCCACAGAGAGCCCCACCCCTCCCCCTTAGTCCAGCCTCGCCCTCCTGAGCCCAAAGTCCAAATCTAGGAAGGATAACTCCCACCCCTTTCTTGCGCCACAGAGTTCCTCCATTCTCCTTGGCTTTTGAGATCCAGGGACCACCCACACTAGGGAACTGAGCATGACAGGATTCTTAAGCTCTGGACAAATCAAGGGACAAGCATGGGGGTGGGAGAGAAACCTACCTTTTTGATGTGGTCCCAGCCAAGCTGGATAGAGAGAGAGACAGGGGGGCAAAGGAATCCAACGGAAGATGCCTTGCATTGCTGGATGCCTTTGGCCGCTCATCTTCTCCGGGTAAGCATCCTTACCCTGGTTGGCCCTACCTCATCCTGGGTCCAAGACTCATGGCTCTGCCTCCCTCCTCTTTGTCTGACCTTTGCCAAGTACCCCTTTGCCCTCCCTACCAGGCTCCAGGACCAGCCCCCCCTCCTGTTCTCTCCTGGCTTCCATCCCATTCTGGGCAAAGTGATTTCTATAAACCTAATTAAGTGGAGGAGGCCTGGAGGGAGGAGGGGCGCCTAGGACAATTAATCATCTGGGAGTGACATTTGGCGAAAGATTGGCTGGGTAATTAAACAGGAGGTGAGCCAGCAGGCACTGCAGAGGAAGAGGTAGTGAGAGGATTCAGCAGTTCCCCATCCTCAGCCTGCTTCACTGTGTCCAAAGTCCTCAGGCTGGCACCTGAGGCACTCCATAATCCTGTTCCTGGCATCTGAGGCCTGCCACACACTTGTCCTTGGCATTTATGGGACTCTCTGATTTTGGCCCTGGCATTCGAGGCCCTTTGTGATCTTGTCCCTGGCATTCAAAGTTCTCCATAGTCTTCTCTCCATCATTCAAGGCCCTCCATGATTTTGCCCTTGGCATTTGAAGTTCTAATTTTGCCCTGGCCTTCTCTCCTCCTCATTCTGTGGCAGCAGCCAGAATAGTCTCCTCAGGGCTCCCAGTTAACATCTGACTCATCTCCCCATTTTGCTCATGAATTTCACACATTGTAGTACTTTTCCTGACCTCTGCAAATGTACCTTGACTAATGATGATGGCAACTCCTCTCATTAGAAATACCTTCTGAAAAGTGACAACGTGGGACTCTAGAAAGGGCACTGGGTTTGGAGTCAGGACCTGGTTCCAGTACTGACTCTGCCAGTGTGTGATCTTGGGCAAGTCACTTGACTTTTATGAGCCTTAGTTTCCTCATCTGTCCAATGAGAAAGTTGGATCAGCTGACATCAGAAGTCCTTCTCAGCAGTAAATCCATAGATCCTTTGATCCGGCTGCCTGAATCTTGAAGCCCAGCTCAAGCCTCACCTTTTACCAGAATACTTTCTTGACCAGCCTAGCCCACAGCAAGCTCTGATTGACTTGAAGACCGCTGCCCTAGGTGTTATATAGCCTGATGCACATCAGCTTCCTAGGCCCCCAGATCTTCTCCCCAGGGCCCATCCAGGAGCCTTTTGCCTTCACTTTCATGGTTTTGTCCTAACAATAACTTTTAAACTTCCCACGACCCTTTGGATATTACTGGCCTCCAGCCTTGCCTGCCTCTGCTCTCCTGTACCTGACACCCCTAATCTTGACAGCCTCCCTCTTCCTTTTGCCCCTGCCACAGACCCCTGAAAGCTCCAGGGTGAATGCTTCTCCTCCCTTCCCTTACCCCTCCCGTTTACACGTGTGCATGGAGCCTGGAAACCTGGGATCGTAGTCCAATGCTGACACTGACAAGTCCTTTCACTTATGGCCTCATCTGTTAACTGAGGAGAGGAAAGCTTGTACCAGTGGGCTCACAGGGTGATTATGGCATTGTCTAGGGTTATTCACAAGAGACCCAACCTGCAACTGTGATTTCATTGGACTAGGGAACTCCCAGGCTACCGATGTAGGTCACCACCCTCTAGGCAATGTGCAGTCTTAAAGAGCTGCCTAGAGCACCAAGGGGGTAAATAATTTGCCTAGCATCAGTCGCACAGCCAGTGTGTGTCAGAGAAGGGACGTTAACCCAGGTGTTCTCGGCTCCAAGTGTCTTCATCCTCTCTAAGGAGGCTACTTATTCACATGGGAACCGTGCACTAATAATGCTGCCTGTAGTACATAGAATCTCCGGGTTGCGAGGCCCCTTGGAGGCCACCTCCACCGGCTGGGTCCAGGCAGGGAGCCTCCACGTCTAACGTAATCGTGTGGCTGTCCAGCCTCTGCATCAATTCTGACAGTGAAGAGGAGCCCGCCAGGATACAGGGGTCATACGGATTCAGAAATAATTCATCAGGGGAAGGTCCTTAGACGTGTGGATACAAGAAATTTGTTACGAGATAGAATAGCTTAGAAATGAAATGCCAGACTGACTTCCAGGACGTAGTCACTAAGCTCTGCTGTTGAACTACAGTGCCCAGAGGGCAGGGCCTGGGCATACTGTCTTTGAAGACTGTGCGGTCCTTGAGGGCAGGGCCTGGGTCAGCTCCCCTCAAAGCCCTGAACACAGGACCTGGCACTTAGCAGGTGGCAGGAAATGTTAGTTGAACTGGATGAATAATTAATTGAAAGAACTGTTTGTAATTGAATCCAGAAGCTAGTTCTGCCTCGGGATTGCTGGGTGACCTTCAGAAAATGGCTGTCTCTTTCTATGTTCTAGTTTCTTTGGATGTACCCCAGGAAGTATGCTCTCACCATTGCTTTTGAGCCCCCAAAGAGAGGTTTGAGGACCTCAGAGTGACCCCTGGGCTGGTAAATTCTGCCACAAGCTTTGAGACCTTGGACAAGCCTTCTCTGTGCCTCAGTTCCTTCAGTTATAAAAACGGAGATAATAATATACTACCTATGTCGCAAGGTTGTTGCAAAGAGAGCACTTTGTAAAGCTTAAGTAGCTAACTTTATAAAGCACCTACTGTGTGCCAGCCTTGGTGCTAAGGTCTTTGTAAATATTATCTCCTTTGATCCTCACAACAATCTGGGGAGTTATTAGTGTAATTATTCCACACCCACTCTCCGTTCTCCAGGTTCTCTTTGGCCCATTGGTGGATTATCCACATTTCCCACTTTTGTTCCTCCTACTTTATGGCTTTCTTCTCCTTTTCCCTGATTAGAGGCTGAGCAGGCAGAGGGGAGAGAAGTCTAATGCACAATGAAAGGGATGAGTCTAAAGAAATATAAGGTATTTGGAAGGGAGGCATGGATTGTCCATTTCAACTGGTTTGTTCAGAGCAAGTGCACTGAGGCAGCTAGGCGGCACCGTGCATAGAGCAAAGAACATGGAGTTAGGAAGACTTGAGTTCAAATTCTGCTTTAGACACTTAATAGCTGTATTACCCTGGGCAGGACATTTCATCTCTCTCTGCCTCAGTTTCCTCATCTGTGAAAGAGAAGTAATAATAGCACTTACACAGCTGTTGTGGGGAGTAAGATAATATATGTAAAATGCTTTGAGATCCTTAAAAGTAGCAAGGTGGCACAATGGATAGAAAGAAGCTAGATTTCGAGTCAAGAAGTTCCGAGTTCAAATCCTGCTTCAGATACTTACTAGCTGTGTGATCCTGGGCAAGGTGCTTAACCTTTCTGTGTCTCAGTTTCCTCATCTGTAAAATGAGGGTAATTATCATAGCTACCTCCCAGGGTTGTGGTGAGGATCAAATGTGATAACGTATGTAAAGTAGTTCGCTTTACGTATATAAATATACCTTAACATTTATAACATATGTCACCCTAGCCCTAAACATATGTGATATAAATGCTAACTATTATTAGAAAAGAGGGGACACAACTGGGGGCAGCGTCCCTGACTAATTGTGTGCCTGTAGGCTAGAGTTCAGCTGATGGGGTCTTGTTTTTGTCTCAGAGATGCCGTCCAGGCCTGGGAGCGGCTGAGCTGCAGTGGGCTGGGCCCCTCAGACTTGCCAGAGAAAGCATTGACGGGGCTGACTGCCCCGCTGGCTGCTGACAGACAAGGTAATACCCAGGCCCAGTATGGGCTGGCGGGGGTGGCAAGGGAGCTTTGTCTTTGTCTCAGTCCCAGTTGCCTGTCTCCTTGTCTGTCTTCCTCTCTGGCCTTGTCCATGTCTGCCTCTGTACCTGTCTCTTTCTATTTGCCCCATCTCTCTCTCTCTCTCTCTCTCTCTCTCTCTCTCTCTCTCTCTCAGGCATACACACACACACACACATCCCAGTTATTTCCTTTATTTTTAAATTTCTTTCTTCTGAATATCTTGGAAAAGTAAGTCAGAAGCCTGGCTTCTTGCTTCTTATCTGTGTGTGCTCTGGACATGTCATTTCCCTGATCTGGGCCTCAGTTTCTTCATCTGCAAAATGGGTATACTCATGCTTGCACTGCCTACTTCACAGAGCCCTTGTAAAGATAGCACTTTATAAACCATGAAACACTATAGGAACAGATGCTCAGTTTCAGTGTCTGTATGTTTTCCCCTGTGGTCCTATGGCTCTGTTTCTTTCTTCTTTGACGTCTCTCTCCTTTGGCACAGGGATACTTGATCTGTGTTTGTGTTTATGTCTCTCCCTCTCTCTCTCTCCCCTGCGTGTGATTCCTGGTGTCAAATCACATATTTGATTTGTGTTTCTTTATCTCACCCTTTCTCTTGTGTTTTACCTCGTGTCTGCCTGTTTCAGTTTTTTTTTCTTGGTGATTTCCTTCTCACTGTCCTCTCTCTGCCCTTCCCCTCCCAGTGCTGGTAGTCCCATTGGTGGACAAGGAAGCTGGAGGCGTTGTGGCCACCATCCTGGTAAGAGCCGGGGGCTGAGGGCTGGGGAATGGGGACAGGGCTGGTGTAAGGGGGCCATGATCGCTCTGTAATTTTCTGAGTGGGGCCAGTATAGACACCTTGAGTCCATCCCCTCTCCGTTTCACATTATCCCTTGGGTTAGGGAATTGGAGGAGAGTATCTCTGTGTGAGGTTATGGAATGTTCCAACCCTGGATCAGGTTCTTGTCTCTGGATTATCTAAGTCATCACCATCTCTCATCCCCTATGCCTCCCTCTTTCCCCCCATCTTCTATGGGGCCATACCAGATGTACTCTCCCTCATCATAGCTTCAGCCCTCATGCCATTCAATTGAACAAAGATTTACTAATTGCCTTTTATTTACAAGGCACTGGGCTAGGCAGTGAGGGTCCAAAGACAAAAAAGACCCAGCACCTGTCCCAAAGGACTCCAAGGTCTATACAATCTGTTCAGATAAAGTATGATGTTTGGTTATTTGGAGAGGAAGAAAGCACTAGCATCTAGGGGATCATGGAAGCCTCAAGAGAAAGATCTTGGCCTTGAAGGAAGATAAGGGTTATGAGATTCAAGGTGCAGAGAAGGTGTGCTTCAGGCATGGTAAGTGGGGTGGGAAGTGAATGCTTAGAATAGGGAGGTGGGATCTGAGGCTCTAGCTAAGTAGTTCAGTTTGGTTGAGAAGTAGAGACTGTGAAGGGGGATGATGTGAAATAAAACTAGAAAGATAGGCTAGAAACAGATTGTGGAAGGCCTTGAAAGACAGGTTAAGGAGTTGGGGTAATAGGGAGCCATTGAAGGCTTCTGAGCAAGAGAATGGTAGAGCTAGAAGACGTTCCTTAGGAGGAGTATTTTGGCAGTTGTGCAGAGGATGGATTGGAGAAGAGAGACGCTGGAAGCAGGGAGAACATTGAGGATGCTACTACAATGGTCCAGGCAAGATGATGGACCTTCATGGTGGCTATGTGTGTATAGAGAAGAAAAGAGAGAATGGCTTCAAGATATTTTGTCATGGTAGAATTGACAGGCTCTTTTGGTGCATTGGATGAAGGTGACAGTAAGGGAGAGGGAAGAAGCAAGGATGGCTCTGAGGTTATGAACCTGGGTGACTGAAAAGATGGCGGTTGCTTCGATAGAAATAGGAACAGTTGGAGGAGGGATAGATGTATGAGTGGCAGTGAGGAGTCTAGTTCTAGACATGCCGAACTTGAGAGAGACACCATTTCTCCAATGGCTCCGTGAGGACGCTCTCACTAATCATGGAGGAGTCAGAGCCTTTCCATGACTCTCTGTCCTGTGTAACTCTTGTCCATAGCCTCTCATAGGTTCAAGTTTTTTTTTTAATAGGTTCAAGTTTGAGATAGGGATGGGAAATCCCTGGGGAGTTGCCAGCAGTCAGTCAGTGGGTGATGCTGGATTGGTGTTGAGGAGGAGAGACAGACAAAGAGAGATAGAGTCAGAGAGCAGAGAGACAGAGACAGAGGGAGAGAAAGAGATAGAAGAAGGGGGGGGAGGGAGAGGGGGGGGG